AGCATTATTTTATTTAAAATATATATATGCACACACAGACAGACACACAATTATTTTATGTTAATTAAACACATCTAAAAGTCAAGTAAAAAACAAAAATTAAATTATTTATTAAATTTATATATATATACAGGATATACAGAAAATAATTTCCATTGTTTAGAAAAAAAAAAAATTATAAATAATGGCTACGGAGATCTAAAAACTTGTGATTTATTCTTCAACAGATATAGAAAGCCGTTTTTGCATTTATGTACTACTTGCAAGCATAAAATATTTAAATGTGGTGATTCAGATACATTAGCTGCAGGAATCATTCTGTCTAAGACACTAAATTTTTTGTAAGCTTAATTATTAAAAACATATAATTAGGAAATAAGATATGGTAATTATAATGCAATATTTTAACTTTTTAGGTTGACGAATTTTCAAGGTTGTTTGCCCAGACTTGATTTTGAGTTCTCTATATACGAGGCCGATCACCTTAACCTCTGATAAAAACAGTTCGAGATATTTATTGATAAGTCTTGAAATATTATTTTCCAAACATCCTGTATTAACAATTAATAAAACACTTTACATCTTATTATAGTTAGAAGGAAAAAAAACACAAAACAATGGACAGATTAACAAACAATTAGAGAAACAATGAAAGAAGTTCTTGCATACTTTATCAAAAAAATGCATTTTATGATTTATCAAGAAAAAGAAAATAAATGTTTTTTTTTTTTTTTTAGTTTAATTTACCAAAAGATCCTATTACTAAATTTAATATTGTCAAAGTTTTGAAAAAGAAAATTATTTCATTAAAATAATCTTAAGTTTAGAATCAATAATAATGATTCAAATCATGTATGATTTTTTCCAATGAATCTGAGACAATGTTTTCAAACTTTAAATACTGTTAATAAATTATTCTGATAAAAATTATTTTATGATAAATGTATTTTTTCGATAATTTGAATTTAGTAGCTTATACTGTCCACAGATATTAATTAATACTACGTATGTATTAATTAAATGATTTTTAGACACTTTTCAGTCAGAAATTTAAACAAAACTATAATTGCACCATGCATTACAGATGATGTTTCCTTTGTAAATATGAGAAAGATGAATTAATCAAATAATCTAGTAGACAATTTGAGTCATGTCTTACAGTTTATTTTCCCCTTTTAATCTTATACAGATAAAAAAATTCTTTATGGAATTTTAACTACCATTTTATTAGAGATAAAATCGAATTAATTTGTAAAGAATAATTTATCTGTAAAATTTTTGTATTTAATTTTCTACGAATCAATAAATACACAATAATATTCTTAAGACATATCAAGTAAACAAGATCTAAAAAAGTATCATGAAAAGATTTCCAATTGTAGTAAAAAAAGCTATTAAAACCGATTGGAAATTTTTTGGCAGAGACATACTTATATAGATTCGATGCACTTGATACATTCTCAAAATATTATTATATGATTTAGCTTATCCTCCAGTGAATAGACAAATATATTGTGGTTTTTGTCTTCCTACTTGAAAAATGTTAATAATGTTTCTTCAATTTTTACTGCTTTGTCAGACATTTTTGAAAATTTAATATTAAATCATTTGGAATTATTTCATATCCTCGAGTTTAAATTAATGAAAGTATATTGTGTATTCAAATTTAATAAGAAAAACATAAACTCTGATAGAAATATTAAAGTTCTTGAAATTAAGTTAAATGAACATTTACTTAAAACAGTTTTATAGATGCATAACTTAAACTGAACACTAAATTGAAGTGTGATAAATGATTTGTTTTTAATTATGAAAAAAATTATTATAAAACAATGATAATCATGTAAAAAAAATACAAACATGAATAACATGAACAATTTTCAAAAGAAAAAAAGGAAAGTAAACAAAATCTTTTTGAAATATATAACAGTGAAATTTAAGACACCACAAAGCTATTTATCTTCATTTTGACATAATAAAATTAAACAACACTATATATAAATCAACAAATTGGCAAAATTTATTATGTTTTTCCAAGAATATGAATTTAAATTTATTTTGATTGGTGTATAATTCATAACATCACAATCCTTCTTTCTTGCTTTATCACTAATGAGGAATTTTACTTCTTACAACAATTTTTACATAATATAACATACAACATATATTATAGTTTATATTTTAAGCTTTGTATTAAGTAATTTTGATCTCTGTTAATTTTTATAACTTCTTAAACATAAAAATTTAATTTTTGAAAAATGCAAATTATAGTAGTTACGAAAATTTTATGTTCTCAATACAAAAATTTTGTTTTCAATTTTATTTAATATATGGATGTATAATGTGCATTGAAAAATATAATTGAAAGAGGAAAAAAAAATTCAATGAAATATCTATAATAGTATCATATAATTACGATTCAATTATCTAAATCAACAATTAACCAAAAAATAGAAAATATATGATAAAACATTACTATATTACCATTTGTAACAATCTGTTTAAATTACAGAGTTAGTGTTATCAAACTAATTTAAACTGGAGCAAATTATACTGATAATTTAAACTCGAAATGCATATATGTTATTTTTTGTATTAGCAGAAATAATTAACAAGATTAAAAACCCTACAATGTCCATAAAACAAAAAAAATATATCAATTTGTGACTTACTACTATTTAAAAATCTTTCTTATTGTACAATAAATCACAGTAAACAAAGTACAGTGAAATACTGTTAACCCAGCATTGTCAGGACTGATGCAAGCCAGTTTATTGAATACATTGCCTTATGATGTTTTTCTGGTTTTTTTCTCTGGACACTATTTTACATATCACATGTAAAACTGTACAAATCTGCTGTTTATGATTGTTTAACATGCTATTTCAATTTTTTCAGGCTATTCTTACTCTTAGCTGGCTTGAAACAAGAACATTATTCTTACTTTGTGCTTTGTACATTTTTATTGCATGCAAATACAGATGAGCTCTAAATTATCAAAGTACACTAACGGTATTCTACAGTAGCAGTTTCCATGATAATTACCAATTCCAAGTATCCCACATATTTCTCTTCTCATATCAAACTTGTGCACTAGTGTCCTTGGAAGTCTTTAGAAAAATCATGCACAAGCTAACTGGTTTTACCTAGCATTGTCATGTCTCCTGGTCTTCCTCTGTTTCCACAATATTTATATTGGAAGTTGTCGATGACAACAGTAAAGAAAAACATGCCAATAACCCCAATGACATGCTGGAAGTGCTGGCTTAAAGGAATTTCACTGTGCAAATAAAATTCCACATTTCAACTCTGAATAAACTTTCACAAAACTTTCATCTAAGCAAAAATTATCAATTTAAATTTTATTTTATTTGAGATATATACAACTAAAATGAAATAATTAGATTTATAATGCACTTTATTATTTTAAATGCAAAATGTTTATGGTACTAAAAGATAAACTAACAACAAAATTTCAAATGTGTGTTGTAAACTGATGACTACAAACTTAAAGAATTTGAAAATTAAAATTTTTACTATCTCAATCATAACATAACATATACATTTTTTTGAACATCTATAGAATTGCCTGTTAGTATAGTATATCAAGTAAGTATTAAATGCATAATTCAAATAATTCTTTGATAAAAAATATGTGAATTTGAAAAAATAATACTATTCTTATCTAATAATAATTTGCAAAGAATCCTTACTAATTTATTTTGTGATAACATTTACATAAGCATTGTATCTGATGAAAGACTATAATTTTGATAGAAACAGCACAGATGCAGACACAGTTTACAATATATTTTCTCTACTAGTCCTACTAAAGAGAAAATAAAAAAAGTCACCAGAGGATATGCAGATGATAAGAAAAAAAAAACAATCCTAATAAAATATAAAATAATTAATATGAATTAAATTGGATAAATTATCCAACATAATGGATTATGCATGTGCAGTACAATAAGATTATCACTAATGCATTATTTTGTAATTATATTTCAATTTTCAAATGCATCAAAATTGAATAATACACATTTAATTTTTTATCATTTAACAACATGGTGAAATTGAATTCATCACACTCCAATTTTCCATCATACTCTTTTGATCAAATATTTGAGATATTCATAAAATCTATGCAGTTTAATAATATTGTGTATAGTTTACTGATGTTTAAAACATAATATATAGTGAAATCTGCTAATGTGACCACTGAAGAAACTAGCTCAAAGTGGTCACATTAGAGGTTTACTGTGTTTTGAAATTAAACACATATTTTATATTTTGTTCCATTTGTTTTAGATCTGTCAAAATATCAATAAGAAATTATGTTATATGAGGTGAAATCATAATAAAACTATATATAGCTTAGATCAAGTTATTCTCTTTTAATAACTCCCTGTAATCTACTTTTAATCGTATTTAACATTTGCAATTCCATAAATTAAAAAATTTTTGAATTAAGGAGAATATTACAAAAGAGATACAGCTGTTTCCAATCATATAGGAAAGCTAAATCTCTGTTTGCACTTTGTATGATATAAAGAAAACTTTGCTAATGTTTTTTCTGTGGATTGTATGTTCATTATAATTAAAAGAATGTTTTTAAAATAAAACTTTATCAAATAATGCTTTTAAACTAATTATATTTAAATTAAAATGGCTAAATTTGTTTGTGTAAAAATTTGTGTATTTCTACATAAATATTCAAACATATTCATCCAATGTAAATGTTTACTATAATTTGTATTATAGATATTAATTTTAAACAAAATGAATTGCAGTATTTTGACAGTTCTGTTAATAATTTTTTGTTTTAAATATAATAATTAATATCAATCAAAATGATAAAAGATAAATATTTAATTTGCTAAGATCTTTTGGCAAATAGAGATTTTTGTTAAAATTTCCAATTTAAAACCAAAAACGTGTTATATAATAGAAAAGAAAAGAATTATTATATTCATAAAATAAATCCATGCAATACTTACCTTGTAGCAAAAGGAAGAAACCATTTTTGTTTGTCTTCTCCAAAAACTTCAATAAAATTAGCATATTTACCCAAACTAAACCCATTTTTATCGGGACCATATCTGAATATAGGAGGTCGAAAGGATTCTGTTGAAAAAAAAATTAAAAATCTATATTACAGAATAACAAAATAATTTAAATAAACAATAATTCAATTGATGAAGATGTGTAACTGATAAGGCTAATATTAGTGTCGAAATGAATAGTATATTCGGCCTCAGGCCGAATACCGAATATTCGGCCAGGTGCGTGGCCAAATAGTCAAATATTTGGCCAAACTATTTGGTTTGATTAACGCACGTACGAAAATTGGCGCGCAAACCGCATTATGGCAAGGACCCTGCTCTCTATTGGCCTGCTATCACTACGCTTCAACAATCGTGTTAATTCTTGACAGTTGTAGCAGACAGACAAGAATGTCATGGCAGTATGTGATAAATGATATCAAATGTGGATAGCAATGAAATGACCTACACGTGTAAATAGTGGAAAGAGAACAGAGAAGGACCGCGAAAATGTAAAAATGAATATGAAATTGAGTTGATAGCATAATCGAACAAGTCGAGGCAGCTTATTGGTGCGAAATTCACAGCCGTCAATGCCAAACAATTGTTGTCATAGACTTTGGAAAGCTAAATGCTCATACTGAAAGTCACTTAGTGTGCGCGGGCGAAATCCTGGGGCCGTTCGGGCTACCAAGCTGTATTGAATCAGCGAAATCATAACTGAGACTTATACCGACGTCCTATCTGTCTCTTTTCACCGTGCTATGAGTCACATAATTGTAAAATGGGAAATCTACGACGGAAAAGTGACGAATCAAAAGTATCACAAACGCATATTATGATGTGTGCATAGGCATACGTGGACTAGAGCGATAGAGGAAAGAGAAAGGGAAAAGCAAAGACGAGCACTTAAAAAGAAGGACAGGCAGGGTCAGACCCTCAGATGTGCGATAATTCTCAAACAAATAGGTGTGTACATGTGCTGACCGTTGTAATTATAAATTGTGAATACATATGACTAATATTATTTTCTTTTTTTATTTTGTGCATGTTATAAGTTATAAATAAATATAAACAAACAACACTAACCCGATAACATTAAATCTAAATACCAAAATGATTAATTTACTGTGCTTTCGTTATTTCTTACTTCTGTTTTTAGGTATTCGGTATGCGGCCGAATAGCGAAAAATAGGCTGAATAGTAACCGAATATTCATTACATCACTAGTTAATACTAAACAAAATGTAACAACATTTAATTAATGTATATAATATACAATAACAAAATATTGTTATTGAAATGTAACAACATTTAATTAATGTATATAATATACAATAACAAAATATTGTTTATACAAGCAGCCAATAAAATGCAAAGAAAATTCTTTTTATTTTCTTTCATTCTTTGCTTTTTATTTATTTATTTATTAATTTTTGATTTCATTTCTGAACTTTGAAATTTTTCACTTCATTTTTTAATAAAATTGTCCATGATCAACTTTTTTGAAAGTTAAAATATGCAAAGTAATATTTTCAATTAGTAGTTATCACATCATTTACACAAAAAGAACATGCAATTTTAAAATGCAGTGTGGTCCTAAAGACTGATGCAGTTTTCTACTTCAGTGACTAAAGATATACAAATGTTAAAAACAAGAAGTAAATAACATCTAATAGTTTAAATTTTGAAGTTTTTTATGTAATAATTTTTTACCAATGTAAGACTAATTTATTTTATTTTATAGATTTCATTAGTGAATGTGTGATAGTAAAAAACAAAGAAAAAAGTAAACTACATTAATGCTTTTTAGCAATCAGAAACTACACCAGTATAACAAGTCCCATTAATAAACAAGGTCCAAGTAGACAATATAAAAACAAAAAGTAAACTACATGTTTTGACTTGCAGAATTAAAGACAATAGCAGCTGTTAGAAGGAAGTCATTATGGTAAATATGACATAATGAATGGTCTAAATGCAGTTACTTTCTATTCAACTATCACTATTATGGGTAGAGTGTGGATTATGTAAGTAAGAGCAAGAGTACGCTAAGTGTGTTTTGACCTAAAAAGTCCTTATGCATCCCATGAGAGATTTACTTCAGAAGTCTGACCTCTTAAAAAAAAAAAAAAAAAAAAAAGCAGACTTCTGAAGTCTTAACAAGGCTGAACAATTGATGAACTTTACAAGGGCCTAACAAAGTGAAACCCAGATGGACAAGCCTACCCGAGCAAAGATCTGCACATTCACAAATAAGATGCAAAGGAGTTTCCTCAGCAGATGGCTGAGGAGAAGAGTTTCAGTTGGTACAGATGTTTACAAAAGTAATCAAAACCAGTAACAATGTTGACCAAACAGCAAACATGATTCCTGTCAAAAGATGGGAAATCCTTAATTGGCCTTTAGAGCAGGTTAGGCAAAAGACATTTGCTCAGTTTTAAACCAGAAGTTAACTTCCATTGCTTAGGTTGATTGGAGTAGTCCAATGTATAACAGCTCTAAAATGTATTATAGAAAATACCAACAACTGGATTGGACCCTTCAAAATTATATGAAACATCCTGTTTGGCCATTAAGTCAGCACTTATATTACCAGCAATATCCTCATTTCCTGGCATCCACAAGAAAAAGACCCTATTATGGGTAGCCAGTTCATTGAGGCACAAACAGAAGTGCTGAAGAAATCTGACAAGAATCTAGTGCCTTTATGAGAGCCTGACTGTCAAAAACAATGTGAATAGTCTTATTAAGAGGACCTCTACGTAAAATAGTGCAAATACACTAAATAATAGCTAGCAACTCTGCTCAAAACAGTGGGACAAAGAAGCCCTACCTAGCTGCTCCCACAAATGTCAAAACTGATGTCCCTTCCATCTGTAAACCAGACTACATCCTGTGAATAAAAGATTACCCTACCCATTTAACTTAATTACTGCAGTCTTCTGGACAGTTTCCCAAAATAATGTTCAAAAGCTCCCTAAGCTTTTCACGGGCTGACAAGACATCCAAGCGTGGGCTCTCTGCCCCAGTGTTTCCAGAACTAGATGGACACACCATCTGCCCTTATACTACTTAAACTATCTTAAAACTAATAACTTATAACTTAAACCAAGAAAAAGAACAGGAGAACCGACAACCAAAATACTGCAAAGCAGTATAACCAAAAAACCCGAAAATGGGAAGCCTAGAAAGATGAAACTAACGGGGGGAACAAAGCACATACTAAGGGAATGAATTACAAAGGGAAAATTAACTACAAAAAACAGAAACCAGAAAAAAGCCAAAATACTAACTAACACCAAAAAAGCTATGAAAACAGCTAGGCAGTTGAAACTGGCCTAGTAAGGCTTACATATAAATTTACAACTGAAAGGGCTGGAGAAAAACGCAGAAAAACCTGAAAAACCAAAAATACTACAATTCAGATAAAATACCGCAATGCAGTAAAACCAGAAAAACCCAAAAAACTCGAAAACTGGTTGACCAAGAGAAACCAAAATTATAGGGGAAGCTAAACACCTGAAGACCTAACTAACTACAAAAAGAAAACTATCTAACTTATACCTAAACTAAGATAAGACTGACTAACTAACTGAAAAACACCCTAAAAACTGAAAATTTACAAAAGAATTCAGCAAAAAACTAGAAGGAAATTGAATGAAAGTTGAAAAGGAGTAAAATTAAATTGATTAAATCAAGAAACTAACCCTTTCTGCCTGGGAACACCAAAACAGAAACAGAGCTAGCCAAGCCTAACAGCTAAGTCTAACAGATGAAAAAACATGTGAAAATGAAAAATCTAGCCCATTGAGAACAAAAAACTGACTCAAAATCTGAGCAGTAACACAAATGCTAACTAAAATGACAAAAAACAGCATGAAAAACATTCAACAGAGCCCAAGAAACACAAAAGTAGACCTCAGCAAAAAGCTCACCAAACACAGGCAAGAAGCAGGCAGAGGAATTTATCAACAAAAAAGTTCTTACCAATTGCAACTTATTTTTTGACTCTCCCATGTATTTTCCATTATAAGTTTACAAATAGTCTAATGTCGCATTGATACTAATACCTATGATCACTATAAGTAGCATTTGAACTATAGCTCTTTATATTAATGTTATATTTTGAAAAAGATTGTTGTCAATATTCAATCATTGACAACCACTCTTTGTTACTTTAAGATTATCAAGCAAATAATCTTAGTTATGAAATTTGAATCTAAAAATACAAATAGCTATCAGGTTCTATCAATTTAGCTTAGTTTGTGCTTTGTATGTCAGTATACCTCGAAATAATACAGAATTCACAATCCTCCTTAGTTCATTTTCATCATTTGAAGTATCCCCACAAACATTAAACTGTTCATGAATCATTTTGTCTTTCACAGTATTAGAAAATCAAAACCTCTTTTTCTTAGTGACCATATTTGATAAAGTAGAATTGCTTTGCTACATCTTATTGCCTGTTATAAACAAATGACTATTTCCAATGGGCTACTGTTACAACCTTACTTTACAGCATAAGCTGATTGTTCACAAGGTGGTAGTAAATCATTTTACAATGGAAAATACAATGTAAATATTCACTGTTATTAGTGATATTAACTGAAAGTTATTATTCCTGAGATTAACTAAAAATATATAATGCAGTTTCAATTTATAAATAATCTTTAATATATTTTAACTATATCAAATAAAAACTTTAGGACAATAAATTCAAAAATTAGACATACCAAGAGTTGATCTGTTCACAGATACTAAGTAACAGTGATAACCAAACAGTGATACTAAACTGATAGCAAACATCACAGAAACAAAGAAAAGAAATAATATGTGAAATTTTCCCCAACCTTCCAAGTCATTCTGTAAAAGAAAAAAATATTTTTATATGATGATAAATAAGGTCCTTTAGTGAATTACAAAAGTTATTCATATAATATAAAAGTAATTATACTCACTGTCCAAAATTTTATAAAATATTGAAGTGTTGTTGCGGCAATGAAGACACAATATATTAATGCATAGCCCAGAAATAATATAAAGAATTTGTAATTTGTAAATGATACACAGTTATTAACCCTATAATAAAAAATTAATCTTTATTTATCACTCAATTTGTTTCTTTATATAATCTTATAGATTAATGTATTAAAATAAATAAATTAGACTGGGTTAAAAACAACAACAACAACAAAAAAAAAAAAAAACAATAAAACTCAGTAAAATTAAATAATTTCTAATTGTAAAATATATATGTTAGACCAGTGATTCCCAAACTTTTTCGAGCCACTGCCCCTTGGTTCCATAAACTTATACCCAATATTTACTAGACCTGTGAGGAAGGTTTGGAAATATTCTTAGAAAAAATTTTCTATGAACCTCACATTTTGTGTCCTTACTGTATATTGTTCTCAACATCTGAAAACCATTAAACGCAATGCTTCTTCTTACTCATTTTAATGGAGGAAATGGGAAGGTTGTCAGTGATCCCTAATACTTGTGTGAACCGCCGGGAGGGTGTAGGACTCCCGATCCGGCAACAGGTTGTTAAACCTTCTCACTGTCAGGATGAATGAAAGTTTATCCCTTTCCCGCTGTAACAGGATTTTATGTTTTGGGTCGAGTGGCGGAGGGAGGAGTGCCGTCGGTAAGAAGACAGGTGATATACGAGTAAAAGAGGACAACAATTTAACAAGATAACAAAGATTTATTAGCTACATAGATATTACAATAACTAATTTCAAAGGGAAAAATCTGAGTCCCTGAAACACGAAGAGCCGAGAGAGAGTTCACAAAAATTTGTTCCATACCTCTTTATGTCTTTTAATATTCTTGAGGAAAAAGATTATGATATCCAACGGGTTTTTAGAATAAGGATAATAATTTTGCAGGACACAATATATCAATTGGACACAATATTCGTAGGACACAGTATTAAAGTGACGGCAGATGAACGACTCCCCTGAGAGGGGGAAGCAAGTGGTTTTTATAGTTTCATCGTGGGAGAATGGTCATGTGACCAATTGTTGTGAGGTAAAAGGTACGCGGATGGGTCAAAGTTGTTCCCGGGCCCATGCTAACTATCAACTTTGGAGTTGGAATGTGGGATTAGTTTCGAAATGGATGGATGTTTACTTTAAACGAAAGGGGAGATCGGAATTTTTCCCTTTTTTTAAGTTAGGTTTTAGTTTAGAATTTAAAGGAAATTTAATTGGGGGTTTAAAAAAATGCTGTATATTAATCAGAAAATTCGGTAAAAATTCCAGATTTCACACTTGTCTATGGTCACTATTTGGTCATTACAATGCCTCCAGCACCCCCTGCTTCTTTTCGCCCTACTAGATTAAGTCACTGCCCACAGGGGTTGGTAGCGCCCACTTTGGAAACCATTGTATTAGACTACTTAACCAAAAACTTAAATAAAAAGAGAATTGATTTAAAAATTTTACTTTTACTTTATCTCTTTATGTAATTTTCATTAATAATTCAATAAAATAAAGAATTTAAATTACTTGTCAGTATATGGATGAGTAGAGAAGACAGAATATTTCCAATCGTTATTCTTCTTTTTTCAAGATTTAATTTTTTTAAGATGTAGATGTTTTTATGCATATTTATTTTTAAAAAAGCGTTACATATAATTTAATTTATTATAGAATTTATTTAATAGCAGCTATTCAGTGTTTTAGAATTTTATGTTTAATTATTGGCATACGTCACCAAATAGTGTTTTACCTTATCTTGCAAATGTCAATTATAATAAGCAAGTGTACAGTACTTGTTTAAATTTATAGTATGCTATTTATATTAAAATGAATTATTATGTATCTGCATCATTTTAATTGTACTTAATTTGTATTTAAGCTGAAGAGGGATTTCAAAATGAAACTGTAAAAAATATAAGTTAAAATTAATAAAGGGTCAAGTCTGAGTTTGTACAACTGTCATAGTGAGTAATTTGGAATAATAGGAAGTACTCTAGCCTCTCTACTTAATAAAATAAAAATTATTATTATTTACAAATATAGGTCTTTATTATAATGTCAATTTTAAGTATAGTATTTCTGAAAATATTCAATATTCTTTGATTAATTAAGCTGACATTCACAATTATCAGATCACAATAGCTACTACAAAAGCTTTTATGTAGCAAAAATATTGAGATCTTGTTTTTGAAAGTAATATTCTATAAATATGGACTCTTCATTGGTCTTTGTAGGCCACATTTTCAAAAATACATGTATAGGTTATACTAATCTCATCAAAAATATCATAACTACTCATCACAAATTCTTATATCATAAGAAAAAGTCTTGAAAAAATATGTCAAAATTAAAAATATGAAATAGCACCATCAATATTTTAGTAAATACTCCTAAATAGTATAAATTTAGCAGTACTAAAAGTCAAATGGAATATTTAATTATAAAATCTTTAAGTATATCAAACATCGCAGAGCCCAATATGTATATAGAAACATAACCAAAAACAATCATCTTAAATAATCGAGCTATAACCACTAATTTAACAATTAATACAAAGTAATTTGCTACCAGAGGTAGACATTAGATGCCATTATTATAAATTAATTAATTTTTATATACATACCAAGGGCAGTGATGATCCATTTTTAGAATACACCTATTTGAAGAAAGTAACAATAATAATTAGTCAGGTTCAACATTACTCAATATCATATACTTTATATAAAATCATATATTTATTACATTACAATAATTTAACCACAAGTCATATACACACTTATGTCTGAGTGCGTAGTGTTATATTATGGCAATAGTGGTGCTATAAGTAACTGTATTTTGAAGTTGAACTTATGTGAAGCCACGTTTAAAGCATCAACATGCAAGTCATGTGACTTTTGGCACTTAAAACATTACAGCTTATATTTACATCATTTTTATATTCCAGAGAATATGTAACCTAGTGAGTTTTTTTTACCATTTTACTGTAAAATTGAAATGAAGTTATTCACTAGAAAAAGTGTTTTTTTACCTCTCCTGAAAAGTTTGTTTTTTGGCATTTACAACATTATGGCATTGCACACTTCATATATTTTGCATATTACATTGAATATATATTATTTTTTTATTTTCAATAAATGAATCAATTAATGGATGCTTGATATTGACTTAGTTTTAACAATACTATAATACATAGAAAAACTTCAATTTATAGACATGCCTTGTTCCTGAAAACCTCTCAATCAAAATCTTGTACACAGACAAATTTATCCATTATTTTTAATGGTAGAACTCTCTAACTTATACTGGCATAATCCAGTCACCTTATCAAAATTCCATAAACATTAACCATAGACTGGAGATGATGATACTCAAAGCAGATGTTTGTAATGCTTGACTGAGGCAGATCAATAGGTCCCTAGTTGGTCATAACTGTTCCTCATATTCTTCTAATATACTGAGATGAAAAAATAAGATGGAGCACGATGCATGGGTTTTCAAAATGGTAGACTGTCATAGGTGGACACATATCTGTTGTTGTCACTTTTTTTGATGGAAATGCATATCACCATTGGTCAAAAGTGACTTTTGGTAAACACTGGGAGTCTACTAGGAGTTTGTGAACTACAAATTATTATTGAGATTTGAATACTGACAAAATATTATTGAGGTTCTGAAAACATTCTTTTCAGATAATACACTTTTTGATTAATCTGGACAATAAGAAATTATATTTCATGTATACAGCATGTTCTACATNATGTACTGTACTGTAAATACAGTACATACTTGTAAATGTATATATTTTAATATGATTTTATGTGCTTTAAATGCTTTTCTAGTGATATTACGACTTCAATATTTGTGGCGGACGGACGTAAAGTCGAATAAAATGACTTAAACTTGATTTTTATTTTTCCGTATACTTTTTTGACAAACGACGTATAATCGGAACGACGTAAGTCGAGGTATACCTGTACTGACAAAATATTATTGAGGTTCTGAAAACATTCTTTTCAGATAATACACTTTTTGATTAATCTGGACAATAAGAAATTATATTTCATGTATACAGCATGTTCTACATTAATAAAGCATTATATAATAATAATTTTTTTTAACAAACAGCATTCAAAATAAGCAGAACTAGCCTGTATTACCACTGCCAAGTCCTATTGGCAGCATCTTCATTCACCCAGATCCTCAATAAAGTGCTACAAACACTTATTTATCTATTAACTAATAATCCTAAATAAAGTAAATTAAATTAGTCAGTTAGGTTATTCACCAGTAACCTAACAACAACGAGTAAAACAAACGCCAAGTTATCCAGACATTTATTTATTTGATAAAAAGAAAACGAAAGATACAACGATAAGCAAGCAGGATAAAAAGTAATATAAAACAAAATAAAATTGTATTCATCAACAGAATTGTTGGATGTTTAATGAAGTCTACCAAATTGTACAACTGTATTAGAATGAATGGTACCATCTCTAATGAACATATACACAGTGTAAATGAAACAAAGGAAGCCATGCTATGAATTTTTACTACAGGAATTAATTACACACATAAATGGGGAGCACACAGTGCCCAACAATGACAGAGTGAGCAGAATTGTTATGTTGCATCTTTCTTTAAATTTGAAGGAAAGCTGTAGGTTCAAAACAGAGGTGGCCCTATGTATAGTCCCATGGCAGTCATACTGTGTGAACTCATATTAAGGGAATTAGAAAATACTCTCATTCCCAAAATATAGAATAATATTCTACACTATAAGTGGTACATAGATGACATATTAATTACATGGAACACACATGTAATCAACACTAATCAATTAATAAACAAATATCCTTTAATTAGAATAAATGTAAAGAAACTTATTGAACAGAAGGATGACTGAAAAAGACAGACAATAAATTTAAAACATATATGATACATTGTGTGCCAGATGATTTCTCCTTATGTGCCACTTTGGGCAAATGTGCATTAGGTATGCCACCAGTGATAGGGGTTACTGACACCATCTAAACATTATTGTATACATCAACTTATGTTTTTCTTTAATGTATTTTTATTATATATATATATATACATCTCAACTGATTTGTATAACTATATACATTTTGAAGCTGTTCTAAGATTTATGTAATTTTTAAATTTTAAAAAATTGTTTAAATTCTATTTTTATGTTTTAGTATGTTAAGAGTTTGATCCTGAAAATGGCTGCTTAGTCAGCTAAAACATTGATGATGAAAAAGACTAACACTCTGTTCACATTTACACTATACTTCACTTTATGAGAAAAAAATTTACTGTATGAACACACACATTGATCATAATCATATCAAATTAACAATTACACAACACTAAAACAGTAATACTAGAAATCTACTAGAAATTTGGGAAGTATATTTAATCAACTATATATTGCATAATTGATTAAATATACTTAGTATCAGTTTACTGACAGATTTAGTCTATTTCCATAAAAACAAAAAAATTACATAAAAGATAAGCTTAACACTAATCATGTTTTAATAATATTTGATAATGCAAAAGCAGATATTTACAGATATAATTTTTATATTTTTCTACTTACATTCCACAAATTGAACAATGGTGTGCTCTGTCTGGCTTTACATGATGGCATTTCTCACAATATCTAATTGCTATATAAAATAAAAAAAATTTATGAATTTATGTAATGTACCTGAAAATAATGTCAGAAAACAATTAGTGCAACCATTTAATAAAACCATTAAAATTTCTAAAACAAACACAGTCAAATTTCAACTTTGCCATCTGTTTGCCTCTGAAACTGGTACTAAATTGAGAATGAGGTGAATTTGCTCAACTGAAATAACATAAATATGAATTATATTTAGTAATGAAGTCTACATATGTTTGAGTTTCAGAGTTTGAAAATCAGATGATATAATGATGTTATTTGCATTATAAATTGCACAGATACTAATTTGAAGATTCTGAAGGATTCTCTACTTAATATTTATGAGGACGATCCATTGACGAGTATTTGTTGATGGTGTACAAAAGTAGTGTTATTTAAAAGGATACTATATCGAGGTCTGACCATATAGAATCTTTAAATTATTAGCCACTGATCTAATGGCTGAAAAGTCAGAATTTCTGAATCTGTTTAAATTAATAATGATATGCTTGATTTTGATATTTTACTTTGAATATATCATGCTATATTATCTCATGCCAGCTAATGATGCTAATTTTTGAGTATTTAAAAATTTTAAATAATCATGTTATTTGCATTTATATCATTATAAAGTTAAAACAGTAATACAGTCATTGAATAAATATATCAAATGTAACCTGTAAAGTTCAATAACAATTCTTTATTTAAAATTAATTTCCCTTTTCACTCAAAAACTTAAGCTGTTGTTTTTAAATTTTTTATGTTCCTTTAAATAAAGAAAACATTTTGAATTAAAATAATTGATAAAATTTCTGACACTTTCTATAGATTTCAGGAAAATGGTACATTAGACAGTTTCACAAGCATTTTCGAAATTAGAAAAACCAGGCTCCTTTTGTACTAAATTATCATTATCATCTTAGAATTATGTCCTTCATTTAAAATACTGATTACTATCGGTAATATCATAATACATATAAAAAAGGCAACGAAGTATTTAGACGTTTGAAACATTTTCCAAATAAAGTTTCATAAATGATTGAAATACACTCACTTATATTTTATATAAAATTTATAAAAAATCATATGCAATTGGTGATTAATGAAATAAAGATGTGGCCAATTATCTAAACACCAGAGTCTTCAAGCTGTACTTAGGCTAATAATTTAATAAATCAAAGTGATGTAGCTTAAAAGTTAGGACAAAATTACCCATATAATTTTATCAATGTAATGTTTAATTAATTAATCTTTACCTTCATATCTACAGGGTTCCTACTCAAATTTTTGTTTTGAATTCCCTGACTTTCCCTGATTTTCCCTGACCAACTTTGTCCAAATTCCCTGACCCTCACATTTTTTAGTGTGGAATATCGACATAATAAAACAGCATTTACTGTTAACATTGAGTACATTTAGCCCTCTTTTTGCACAGTTGATATGCTTCAAAGACTGCCACATTAAAAAAATACAGTACATACATCCTGTAGAAAAATGTTTGATAGAATCCACAACTTCAATGTAATGAAAAAATAAGCAATTTACAAACAAAACACAAGCTTTTTATTTTATCATCATTTATCATTATTATTTGTATGTAAATCTAGTAAATACAAGGTAACATAAAATCAACAAAAATTATTCTTTGATAAACAAATAGTACTGTACTGTGCTTAAAATGAACTCTTGATTTAGAAACACATAATTTTAAAATCAATCTTTCAACAAAAAGAGTAACTTTTTTTTAACCTTTTTACATTACCATCTGTTGCATATCTTAAAAACAGTTATTGCAAATATAATGTTTAAACATGCATTATTATATGGATAGGATAGATAGGGTGTGACCCATATCCTATTTCTGAGATCAAAGAATGTTTTGATGAGAAGAAATAAAACTCATATTTAATCACTGAGCCTTCTACTGCCCCCATGAAAGCCTCCAGTGCCCGCAAAGGGGCGTTATCACCCACTTTGAGAAAGGATGATCTAGACCAGTGTTTCTCAACCCAAAACTCATCGCAGACCGGAAAATATCTGCTTTTTTTAAGTGGACCAGTGACAATATTATTTTTAATTGAAAAAAATTCTCTGTTGTAAAAAGAACTGCAAACTACATTGAGCAATAAATATTTGTTATTTTATTTACCAGTACATTAGTATACAAATCAATGTGATCGCTGCTTTTCTTTTTTGCTAGTAAGATCATCAATTCTTGGAGTTAAGGCGGTAACTGCAAGGCGTGAGGCAGAACTAATACTATAATGATTTTGTTGTTTCAATTTTATCATTACCATTGCTGAAAACATTGATTCACATAAGTACGTTGTTGAAAAAGGTAGTAACATCCTAACTGCCTTTTTATGTAAAACTGGATATTCAGATTTAACTTTAATCCAAAACTGTGTTATGGGCATTGATTCAAACAATGTTTTAAATCCCAAGTCTGAACTTAATTTGATTAGTTTTTCGTATTCAAAGTCGTTCAATCTATTAGTTTGCTATCAATAAACGGATTAATAATCCACATATTTCCTATTTGAGAACAACGCATGGAAGGTTAAGTATATATTTTTAAAGTTTTCGCGGACTGGTCAGATTAGAGTTGCGGACCGGCGGTTGAGAAACACGGGTCTAGACTATTTCTCAAGTTTCTATAAAAAATTTCTGTTCATTCCTTTTTTTCTCTAATAATTAAATTATTTTACGTTTTTCTATTTTAGTTCCGGACAATTCCGGAACCTCACACTTGTATTCCTATGAAGTCATAGTATTACGAAAATTGGGATTCTTAAAACTTATAAAATAAAATAAATACAGAAATAAACAACAAACGAAATTACAATTATACGTTATTAAAATATAGAAGTTCAGCGCAGAGAATCGTAACTACAAATCTCTTTCTTTTGCAACATAACTATAAAAATTGTTTTGGTGTTGTTTCGCACAAAAAATAATCAAATTTATTTTAATTTTTTAGTAATGTAATTATTTTTTTTTAAATTTACAGCTTTTTAATTTTTAAATTTTAATTATAAGCAAGTTAACATTGGTTAAACTATCGGATTACCTGTTGATTTTCGAAAATATAACTACAGAATATTTATTACAAGCATGATCAATCTTGCCAGTTTTTAAGCCCTAAATTTGCCAAAATCAGTGATATTTGTTACCCAATGTCATTTCAGTTAACTAATTATTAAACTATGTATCGAAGTTGCGGAAAAAAACGGAAGAGAGAGGGAAAATATGCTTGCAGTACAGTACATTCAAGGAAAATCGTAACAACAAATATAAAAAGCTTGTGCCAACAACAAGTCAGCGCCAGTATTTTACTGTAAACGTCGGGTAACTATTTATAATTTTTTATGTTTTAAACTGAAAAACGATTAAATTACAGATTTTTACTGATCTGTTTAGCTATTTTGAAGTGAACATTCTAATAAATTACGATTTCAACTTTTAAAAGTTTGCAAACAAATTTTTAATTAGTTATTTTTTATTCTAATAAACAATTTCATTTTTTTATAATCGCTGAATTACTAAAATTAAAAATTAAACACTATTACATAAAAGTAGTTTATCCTGTTATTAATTAACTCCCTTGCTACCCACTAATTTTTAATATTAATGTAATTAAACATAAAAAATATTTAAAACTGGGAAAAAAACGAAAGAAATGCGTTAATTTTGAAGAAAAAGCTTCAAACTTTATTTTCCATTGTCTCGCCTTTCTGTGAAATCTGACACCGATGAGTCATTGTGTTTACAGCTGGATGACCTGGAGAACAGCTGGTGTTGGGATTTCCCGGGACATTCTCATAGAAGTCTCGGGAGGAGAAGGGTTTAAAGTAGAGTGAATACTAGCTGGCCGTATATTTTTAAATATTTTTCAAAAATTACGTTTTTTTATTGCGATTTCCGACCCCCCGACTTAATTAAACGTATATATAATAAAATATATTAATTTAAAAAAATTAAAAAACTATTGGAGGTCGTTTTTGACATCAGAAACTAGCTTTAAATAACTTTATCGAAGTAAAATCCGTGCACTACTACTTTAGAACGATGAATGAAATTTGATAAAAAAAACTCCCATTAAAAAACAATTAAGAGTTAATCGTGCGTCATTAAAGGTATATTAAAATCGCGATAAAATATTTTCGCGCGGGAAAAAATTTTTGAAAAAATTTGGAGACTTAAAAAACATCCAAAAAAAACAAAAATTTTTTCGGAGGGCCCAAATGCCCGAGTTTTATATAACGCTATGGAACTTTCCCGAGTTATCTCGGGTTTTAAAGATTGCAGCATTACTTCTTGCCGCCTGCGTATGGCTATGATTGGTCATCTATATTCAGCAAACCAAATCAACAACGCAGTTAAGGAGACAAATTCCCTGACTGTTTGACAATTTTCGACAAATTCCCTGACTTTTTGATAATTTTTGACAAATTCCCTGACTTTCCCTGACTTTTTCAAAAAATAATGAAAATCCCTGACTTTCCCTGATTTTCCCTGACTTTCCAGGTGCGTAGGAACCCTGTATCTAGTGTAAATGTGAAGGCAAGGATTGGATAAAGTCTGGATAGCTTTACTACTTACCCATTTACTGTTATGCATATTAGATTATTAACCTAAATATAGTCCAAAGAATCTGGTGTTTAAGTAATTAGTTACTGAAAACTGGGCATGATTATTGAGTATAAAGATGTGGATCAGACTGTCACAAAATTAGATCTTATGGTATATTTATTACTACTAAACAAAGCATAAATATATACTGTATATATTGTCTGTAAATTTTGCTGTATAAATTTTATGTATTTTATATTTTAATTTATATTATGAAATGAATACTGAAATTACAATATACCTCCATTTAGGGCACGGCAAGATACAGGAAGTTCTTTAGCAAATTTCTCTAAAATTTTTCGCTGATTTTCTTCACTTGTCTCTTTTTCAAATTTTTCTACTTCTGAAGAGGGCAACTTAAACTAATAAAATAATTATATTAAATATAATGAAATACTGTAATTAGATCCATAATATAGTAATATAATATTTGTAAACTAGAGAAGTTTTCAAGAATATTACCATTTTATTTTCATTAAAACCATCTTTATTTTATAGAGTAGGACTGGCCAACAAGTCAATTGCGGAATCATATTTGATTAATCACAGATATGTTCTATTAAAATGTAGAAAACATTTGTAATTTTAATAGTAATATTAAATCCATATAATTCACAGGAAAATCCTTAAACTTTACACTTTGGGTTGGTAATATTGTGCTGTTTAAGTTAATGCATAAAAGATATAAAGTGGTCAAAGGTCATCGCTAGGTTAAGTTTTATTTTAGAAACTGTTTTGCTGACACTAAACAATTTTAGTTGAGTGCAAAATGAGTGCACAAAAGAGAAGCAAAAGTTATAATTCATGTAAGAGAAAAAAAGTAAAATTTTTGTTGTTGTTATTGTGGTGAAAAAAAATTATGCCATTTCATTTATTCTTTAGTGTCTTCATTATAAAAAACATAACCTGAAACATTAATTACTGTGCAATAAATAAATAAAACTATGCTTTATAGCTACGTTTTATAATCACCCAAGGTTTATTAGAATAGATTATTAAGTTTTTATTAAAAAAAAAAGGGGGGGTAGATCATTAATACTTTGACTCAAGAAAGTTGATCACACTCCACTGTAAGTTGGCCAGGCCTGTTGTAACAACTTTTAATTCCAATTATCTGAAGATGTTCGAAATTAAAAATCTTTGCAATATTTTATAAAAAAATTTGTATTTGGCAATTAAATTCTTAGAATTTTTATCATTAAAAAAAAATTACTTATAAGAGTAACTTAATTCGGCATAACACTATGCTAAATCTATAAATAATCACAATATAGAGCAAATTGATTGTTGTAATATATCAGGCTAACTTTTGCACTACTATTAATAATTAAATTTTAAGTAATTTGGTATTTAAGATAGGCATTAGGTGCCATCTCTTATTAAATGTAATAATTATAATAAATTAAAATTTATTAAATAATTTAGAATATTCTGGAAGGAAATAATCTGCTCAAAGCAGAACTCGAACCCGCAACTCCCGCTTACCACGCAATCGTGTTGCCCGTTATGCTACCCATATTTAATTCTCGATATCATCCATGGTTATTCATGACACCAATTTGGAATGCCTACGCAAACAGCATTTATGATCACCCACTATGGCACTCAGCCAGCTATCATTTTACTCCAGCAAGGTGTATGTTACAACAATTGTTTGGCTTTGATTAACAACATTGGGTTTTGAGATGTTTATATATATAATATATAACTGATATTATATAAAAACTTTCATTTAAGCAAAAATTTATGCAAATTTGTTAAACTTTTACAAAAATTAACAAATTTGTCAACTAAACTTCAAAACATAATAGAGAGATATAAAAAGCAATTTCAGGAATAAAAATTTTGAAATGATTGAATGGAGACAAAAATTATTTTAATAAATAAACAAACAATAATAGTAATTAGTGCTTTTGTAAAAATACATCATAAATGCATTTAATTAAATAAAAAAATAATTAAATTATTTAAAGTAGTAATTAATCAAAAATTACAACTAAGTACAACATAACATCAAACAAAATCTTTCAGCAGATTAAGACTTTCTTGAATATAGATCTACTTATAATTGCATTGATCAACTTTTCTTTGTATAGGCAATATATCTATCAGTAAATAGTAATACTTTTTCTATATTATTTAAAACAAACAATATTTATCTAACTGGTTTTATAAAACAATTATTATGGTAATACCAGTATATAATAATTATATGAAAGTATTAAACTATTTTAAGATCTTTAAAAAGTTATAAAAAAGTATAACAACATTGCTAATATCTTCGCTTTCTTTCTGTCATTCATACCACGACAGTCCAAAACAGAATTCTTATATACGACCTTTCCTTTGAGGCTATGCCCAACATCATGTAATGAAAACAGCATCCTCTGGTAAATTAGCCAATTTCATAGTAAAATACATAAAGTAAATATTTAAAATTTTGGACAACGGTATTTAATTTCTTTAAAAAATATAAAAAATTGGCAAAAATTAAATACTGTCGGCCATGGTTTTAAATATTTACTTTATGTATTTTAAGTTGTTTTTATTCAAGTTTCGTTGGGTGCATCTGAATGAGAATGCATTAATTATTGAAAGAACATACCATATTACTTGAATGCAAGAAGCACTTTTTTTCCAGATTTTAGTGTCTGAAAACAGGGTGCATCTAAGATTTGACTAAGATTTGATGTATTACATTATAATTAGCAACCTCTAATACCACGCATGTTATTTCACTGTCACTAATTTCACTACGTCCTTTTGATTAGACCAATAATCGTAACAGTAAATATTTAAGAGATTGTCTTAGATTGGTCTCATTAGTCTATTACAGTAATGTCAAAAGTTTCTTGGATGAAAATACTAGAAAAAGTTGTGCAGCTCTCTTTTGAGAAATTTCACATTTTCAATGTTTCAGACAGCAGCAAGGACGATTGCACGTGGGAAGCTGAAAGCATCAAAACCAACGTAGATTCAGAAGAGCCCAAGAAGGAAAGTGAAGACGTTTCTGACTTTGATACCATGGAAGACAGTAATATGTAACTTTCTTTGGAATAAATAGAATTTGTTCTAAGTAAAAAATAGTAAAAAACATGGCTGACAGTATTACATTTAATTGTAGAAATAAATAAAAAATACAACGTTTTAACAAAGGTAAATACTTTGCTTCCATTATTCTTCCTTTCTCATTCGCTCCTTTATTTCTACATTTAAATGTAATACTGTCGGCCATGTTTTTTGTCTTTACTATTTTTTACTTAAATGTATTATTGTGACAATGGCAAAAGCACCAGAGCAGGCCTTTTTAACATATTTTCATTTTATTGCAGAGGCAGTAGTCTCTAAAGAAAGATCACCTCCATACTTGTGAATTTTATGGACTGTCGCTGGAGAGAACGACGGAGGAGTAATGAAAGCAAAGTATTTACCTTTGTTAAAATGTTGTATTTTTATATTTATTTCCACAATTAGAATTTGTTCTGTTGAAATTTTTTCACAAAAAAAAAAAAGGAGAAAAAAATGTAGAAATTATGGTGTGTCTTAGATTTGACAGTCTCTTATATTCAAGTAAATATGGTATGTTTTGGATTATCTTGAATTTAAAACAGTCATAATTTACTCAAAAATTGTGACTTTTTTAATACTAATGTCTACAGTTTTTTCAAATTGAAGTTTAATAAAACCATTTGATCATATACATTAATTAATCTAATGCAGTGTTTCTCAACTTGTAACGAGCCATCGCCCCCTTCACTTCAAAATTCCGAGGCCAAGGGCCAAGGCTAATGCCAAATTCGTACCGCATCGAATAGACTAGTGACTAGTATAATGTTATTTGTTTAATTATTGAATGTAACGAATAAAATATCTAATTATTCTTAATATAATGTTTTACTATATCACCCAGAAAATTGTTTTTTGCCTTCCCAAAATATAAATTGTCACTAATTGCCCCCTCAACATGGAAAATCGCCCACATGGGGGCGATATTGCCCCTGTTGAGAAACACTGATCTAATGGATATTTCATTAGGAAAACTTACCATTTTTGGGACTACACCAACATCTGTGAATATAGTTTGCCAGTAGGACCACATAAACATGATGAATAATATATGATATACAAAGAAGTAGCAAACTATAATTAAAAAGAAAACAAAATACATTTTCAATGTGCAATATTTTTTTCAAAAATTAAGATTTAATTTATAAAGTATTTACAGAAATATAAGTAAATTATTAATTATGATTGTATTTTTATGAAGAAAATTAATGATATACCAAGCTATCAAATGAAAAGTTTATTTGTGAGACATAATCAACTTGGTAGCAGTGCAAGTTGGTGTGTCTTACTCACTTGTCACATTAACAATGATAATTATGAGTACTATTTATTTATTTAAAGTCTCAAATGTTCCTCAATTTCATATTATATTAATGTTAAAAGATTTAAGCATTTCTCACAAGTATATGTTGCAAGAAATTTAACAGGATAGTAATAAGTATCTCTGGTTCATGCACTGTCAAGTCTATTCCTTGTGTTTTAGTTAATTACTCCCATACAGATTTAAACTATCAAAAGAAAATTATTATTACAACAGTAAAATATTTTATTACTTATTTATCATACATCTATGTTTATAAAATGGGATCAGCTATTATGGAAGGTTTCTGCATGAATGCTTATGGCATTTTAGCGACAAATATTACTTTTAAAGATTTGAAATCGGGATAAAGATTATTATATTTTATTACTTATTTATCTTACATCTATGTTTATAAAATGGGATCAGCTATTATGGAAGGTTTCTGCATGAATGCTTATGGCATTTTAGAGAAAATTAAAACGCATACTTCAAATAATAACAAAGCAAGACTCCATAGAGGAACACATATGCAATATGTTATCGATCAGTTCGAAAAGGTAATTAATTTGGCTGTGACTATCTTTAAAATGTTAGAATCGTCTAATACACATGAGGTTAGACTTTCCTCATCTTTTGTCAAGAAGAATGTTACGAAGGCTTTAGATTTAGAGGGCTCACAAGAGGTGAATGGTACATTGACTGAAAAATTTGAAAAGCTGGAGAAATTGGATACAGTTGTCCAAGAAATGAACCGATTGTTATCCACACAGACTTTTCTAGATGCTCAAAAAGCAGTTTTCCAAAAATTAGATAATATTGTTGAGAAAATATCCCAATAATTCTCTCGTGGTTGCGATATTGAAACTCAAAAAACTGTTCTCGAAAAACTTAACAAAATTGAGGACATAAAGAACAAATATATTACTACTCTCCTATTCACACTCAGATTCTTTAACGTTATAAAGTCAACACACCTNCCCGTAAGGAATAATGTAAATTAGATTAATCCATTCCAGATCCCAAAAATACACTTATAAATTTTAACTATAATTTAACACAAACTTAATAGTTTACAAGCCTTACATGAATAAATAATTTAAAGAAACCAAAAATACCCACATGCAATACAGAGTAACAAAATATGCCCATTAATTTTATTAGGTTGAATGAAAAGTTTCTGTGTACTTTTAATGGCTGTTACTACTTAATACAGATGTGTGATTTAATTATAACAGTCGTAAAATTTTACGCATTATTGCTAACATAAGATTGCATTCTTTGTTTAGAAGCTTATTTTGAACTTTTTACTCCATGTTTTGTTTGGGTAAAATCAAGTCGAAATATATGCAGATAAAATTGCATATCTGGCATATTATGCTTTTTTGAGTTTTGGAAAAAGTACAATGCTAAATATTTGTACTGTGTATAGGGAGATGCATCTAAACTTCCAATGTGTCAAATGCAATTTAAAAGATTCTGTTCAAAAAATTTTTCACTAAAGTGTATGCAACGAAAGGATGCTCAAAAGCTGTCAACAAAGAAAAATTGCAGGAAGAAACTGTTAAAATTCGATAAACAACTTGTGGACTTCAATAAATCTTAATGTCACAGACATGTATTGTCAAAACACTTCATCAATTTGAAGTGGTTGCAAAGCATGAGCAACTTTAGACCCTCTACCTTCCAGTTATATACAATGACAAAACTTCACTCCTTTAAATTATGTATACAATATAGCTCATAGACTTCCCTGATACCAAAGAAATGATTTAAAGTCCTGCAAATAATTGATAGTTTATTTACATAATTAGTATGTAGATTTATAACAATATATGCCATTTACGCCATTAAAAACATTCCACATAGACAATGTACATCTGGAAAGGACCCCTTCCTTTCCAGATGTACAATGATGTACTTTTCACAACTTTCTCTCCTCCTCAAATTGTACATACAACTAATGGATGGCCTCTGTCACTTGTTTCCAAATCAATTTTAGCTATTCTTAAAATAATCTTAATGCAATGAATTCCAGTTAATTGGGACTTAGTGTCCCAAATATCCAAAACAAAGTCTGATTATTTTCTGTGTCCCAAAGAAACAGCTGTTCCAATTAAGTGGAAACTACTGTACATATCTGGGTTAACTGACTTCTGAGTCATCCTGTATATAGTTTCATTTATCACAATAAGTCATATATTAAAATTCATGCATCAAGATATAACAGAAAATGCATACTAATAGAAATTATATATATAAGCTACTATATTTTACTGCAGATCACAAATTCAGACAAGAAAATTTCATTTGAATAAATGTTTACTAAAATAATTTTATTATAAAGAATGATTTATTATATCTTTGCTGAAAACATAATTATTCTTTATGCAAGAAACATTTGAATATAAACAAACTAAATTTCTTATCTGAATTTGTATAATCAGTAATACATAGTATTATCTTTTGATAATACATAGTATTATCAAAAGGTTTCATTCTTTGGATTTCTTAAGCTGATGCATCAGAAGATAATTTCTCATAAAAATAATTTATCTGTAGTTTTCAAATTCTCTTTGTGCCACAAGACAGAAAAAATAAAAATTTTGAACTGAAAACCAAGCTACTGGATTATTTTTAGGCTATATTAAAACTAATTTAATAGATATAAATGGCTATGGCTTAATATAACAGCCAAAACATATCTAAAATAGATCAGAATTAGGTCTATGATGAGTAATGATGAGTAATTAAGGTCTTTAGATCAAATTTAATTAATGATTAGTTTAATTCTAACTGGAAAAATAAACTAACTTTTAGCTATGTTAAAATAATTTAATTTTTAAAATTTGATCTAAAAATAATGGTTCTGCATCCATCTTGTGTTAAGATAAACAAAATGGCAATATGATACACAAGAGAGAGTGTGGAACAGTTCCTTTGTGTCAGATAGATTTATAATGGCATTTTGTAAATAAAATTAAAAAAATAAGTGAAAATCTAGGTGTGTGTAGGCCTACATATAAAAGCAGAACTAGGCTGAGGTCGACAGCTTTTCGTCCCTCTGATTAGTTACTGGTCATACCTTTATATCGTATAATTGTTAGCTGTGCTAAGTTTTTGGTACTAGTATGCAATTATGTATGATGTACAGTACATGGTTGTCTTGAAGCCAAATGATTGTCAAACTAGATCGGACTACATTACTGCTACTATTAATAATTAAATGCTAAGTAATTTAACCTAGAGGTAAGCGTTAGGTGCCATCTCTTATTAAATTTAATAAGAAATGGCACCTAACACCTACCTCTAGGCTAACTTACTTAGCATTTAATTAATAGCAGCAGTAATATATCCCAATCTAGTCCAGCAATTGTTTGGCTTTAACATAATTATTGGGCTTACAGATGTTTATATTTGTATGGTTGTCTTGTAAAATAAACTCCCCTCACTTGTTATATTTCATCCTAATTCCTTTCCTTTTTACTTATACAACTATACTAACTGAATTTGTGTAATCTTCAAATTTTCAAATCATAGTTACTATGGTAGACCCTACAATCTCCTAATTTTCTATATAACTTATAGGCTAAGGCTAGTGTTGAAATTCAGTCCAGAAGTACTCAGCAGAGAGATTACAAACTTACAACAACGTCTGAGCATTTCAAACTTACTACAACATCTGAGCATTTTCTGAGAGAATTTTTTTTAACAAAACATTTTCAGCCTATTGACAGAGGCCATATCAGGTTTTTAAATCAGTTTTAGATGATTTTCCACAAATAGAACATTCTATTTAATTTTAACTATTGAAGTATTCTTAAGTTAAAATTACTTCTGTAAGATTCTAGCTCTGAATGAGGCAGTTCAGACCTTATCAGAGCTGTATTTTATGCCCATAGGAGTGAAAAAGTCAAAAGGAATCAATAGTCTATATCTCACAAAGGACCAAGTGTAGTCTCCTGAATTTTACTCTTGTTAAACCTGCGATAGGCTTAATGGAATGCACAACATGACTACGATTGTGCCCCGGAATGAATCGTCACTATGACATTTCTCATGTTTTATGAGCTCTTAGCTATCGCTAGTAACATGGAAAACAGTTGATTTTTAGCATTGGTTTCATAAATGTAGATATGGATTTTTTCAGTTTAAAATTTTTCCCTATTTTGAGACTGTACCAAATTCCTTTGCCTTTTTTACTCCAACAGGCATAGTCTACAGCTATGATGAAGTCTTGACTGCCTCATTCATAGCTAGAATCTTGCCATTACTACTGTTAAATAAGACAGTTCCAATTTAGAATAATTAAAACTTGTTAATAATTTCCTTTTATAAAAATGTATGAGAAACAAGCTTCTGACAGTAATTACAATGCTCTTTATTTATATCAAAATTAAATCATTTCATTAAAATATAAAATAAAACTTACCAGTTTCAATTACAGTATTAACTGTACCTAAAATTAAAGAAAAAAAAAATACATTTAATTAGAACAAAAAATGTATTATAATTAAGTCATTAAAAACTAAATTTTATAAATATAAACAGCTGTAACGGTTGTAACAGAAAGACATTAAGTCTGTTTATGAATGAAGTCAATTTTTATATTCTTTTGTAATGTATTTTAAGTGCTATAAATATTATTAATATGAAAAAATATTTAATCTAAAAATAAAAATTAAATAAAACTTACATTAAACTAAATTAAATTTTATATGAATTTTAATGTAATTTCTACATTAAAAAAAATTTCATTACATTCCATGAAAGTTTGCAAGTTTTTTTATACTTGTATATTATTAACAAAATAATCAATGCTTATTTTAAACTGTTAAAAATATTAATTAAAAAACATTGTTTTTTAATTAATACTTTTATCCATTAATTACCTAATCTTGTTTTAGTGTATTATACTTAACTCTCGATTTACACAATTTAACACAGTATTTTAAAATTAAGCATTTCATTCATAAAATTAATATCTAACCTACACTAACTATTACGATGCTGCAATCACATTGTAACTACTTTCAACTTGCGTGAGTTTCTCTATTGTTTTGCAATGTCGTGTGACCTCACACCATACGCATTAAACTAAGCTCAATATCTAGGTATTCATAAAAAATTAAATAAAAGCAAGCTTGGATAATGGATTTTGCTGAGATAAGACCATTGATGCCTTTGCCTTTAGTAGACTAATTAAAAAAAAAAAGAATGGAATTGAAGAAGTAATGGAAGTGATGCAATACAGTAGGCCAGATGTGTTCAAACTCATTTAAACGACGGGCCACACCACATTTACAAATTTTCTTAAAATTATAATTTGAAGTGAGAATGCAGGAATATAGATAGGACAATTAAAACACATTATGTAGTTCAGTGAATTCAGCTCAACAATATATAATTGCTATAGTATTTCTTTTATTTAAACATTTATTTTATTTAATGTACATATTTATAAAACTAAAATTAATTGTTTTCACCGGAAACTTGCCAGCAATATCTTCCTCCTCCTAGTTTTCCAATATCTGGATTCAAAGACTGCGAACAATCTTCATTATGGCAGATAGATGTTTATCAATTAATCTTGATCTGTAAGCCGTTTTATTTAATTTCAGAGCATCGTGGCGTGGGCCACAAAAAAATCACACTGGGGCCACCAGTTTGACACCTCTACAGTAGGCTCTTGTTAATTTGAACTTGTATAATTTGAATTTCCTCTTAATTCAAACTAGATGCTAGCCCCATTTGATTTCTATTTAAAAATGTAAAATTCTCTTGACAATTAGACGTCGATCATGTCATCTCACATTTGTGGATGATTTGTGGTTGCCCAGCGGCAGTCACTAGTCATGGCTTATCAAGGACAATATAGATTTGGAAACAAATATAGACTTGGAAATATAAACTTAGACGTATAAATAGAGACTTGGAAACCAAAGTGGCCATCATCAAGAAGGATCTGGACAATTAAAATCCTGCTTGCTATGTGGTGTTAATGTGTTGTTAAAATCAATTTTTTTTTTTATTGACTGTAGATTCTAAATATCAAATTATTATCCCACAAAAATGGAATTATCATCATAAATTTTTAATACTTTTTCATTAACAATGAGCACTTACCATATAGTAAAAAATAGTTAATATTAATAATAATAATGATAATTTATAGTATTATTTGTATAAACAAAAATTGGGGCCCCATTGGATTTCAATAAGCCCTATGCTCCGAAAAACCTAGATCTGCCAGTCTCCACCTCAAATTAGTACTGTAGTGTCTTGTCCCTGTATATCATACTTTTCCTTTAACAATAGAGTCGTGCCGGTCATCTATTAATCATTTTCGGGGGAAACATTTTGAATTGAAATAACGTGAGTTTCAATTTGCATTAAAAGTTCACATGTAGTTAATTGGGGCCTCCTGCCCAAGCTTTTTATATCTGATCTTCACTTTCATATATCTAACTTCATTCTCGAAATTAGGGAAGGATGGACAGACAGACAACAGTGGGAATTTATAGGTCTACAATTTTTTCAAACTGCAGCCCAAAAAAACAATTTAAACTATTATATTAGGTTGTTCGGAAAGTAAGTTCGTTTTTTTACTACTAGACGGATTAATCGTATTTTTTCCGCCATTTTCATTCTAAACCGTATTGTTTATATATATTTTGACAGCTAGCATTTTAAGGCTTATTTGTAAAAAATTTTGTTTGATTCTGTGCAATTGTTTATTTTTTTGTGTCCCATCAAACATGGAAGATCGAAAGCAGCATTTTCGGGATATTTTGCTTTTTTATTACCAAAAAATCAAAATGCTGTTCAAGCAAGGAAAAAATTGGGATACATGTATGGAGATGATGTGTTGACAGAATGACAGTGCCAAAACTAGTTTACAAAATTTCGTTCTGGCAATTTCAATATTGAAGATGCACCACGTTCTGGATGGCCAGTTGAAGCCAATGAAAAGAAAATAAAGACACTGATTGAAGCAAACTGCTGAATAACAACACGTGAAATCAATGAGAGATTAAATTTGTCAAATTAAACTGTTTATGATTACTTGAAACAAATTGGTTTCGTTTCAAAGCTTGATACGTGGATTCCACATGTTCTTAAAGAGAGATGCTCTCTTTGGTGGGATTTTAAAGAAATTGTTTTTTTGGAGCTTTCAATTTAACAATTTATCAATCAAACCAGACAATTTAACAATTGATTCGAAAGTGTACTGCCATCGAGTAAATAAATTGAGTAATATCATAAAACAGAAAAGGCAGCCAGAATCGATGGACAAAACAGGTGTAGTGTTTTACCACAATAATGTCAAATTTCACACAAGTTTGATAACTCGTCAGAAACTGTTATAACTTATTGATAGATGGAACCTGCTATCACACCAACCATATTTGCCAGATCGAGCACATTTGGATTATTACTTGTTCCAGTCTATATAAATTTTTTTTAACTGTAAGACATTTACTTGAAATGACAATGTCAAAAATCACTTGGATCAGTTTTTTGTAAGCAACGATCAAAACTTTTATGAATGTGAAATCATGCTACTACCAGAAACGAGGACAACAGGTATTTGACCAAAATGGTCGATATATAATTCAATAAAATATTTATTTATTATAAAAATGTTGTTTTTTTCACGGGGAAAAAAACAAACTTACTTTCTCAACAACCCAATATACAAAAAATACTATATGGGTACATTCTAGTAAGCATCAAACAGTGTATCAATGAACTACAATATACTAAAATGTGTTCCAATATTCACTGACAAGTTCATTGGTTTAGTGCTGATTTACTAGTGCATTGGTTGTGGCTAAGACATGCATACTGGAATTTACCCTACATCTTATATATAAACATAATGAATACATACATAAAACAATTATTTATAAAGAATATTGACACAAAATTAACAGGTAACAAATTTATTGTAATAGAGTTAAAAAGTCTTGAAAGAACATGTACACTTTGTATAATGTGAGGGAACTTATTTTATCATCAAGCAAAGAGAAAGTTGGTATCCTGTAGATATTCAAGCAATTCAGATGAAATAAACAGATGCTTCTTAATACTTTTAACAACTAAAATGCAAAGAGAACATTTGGTACTTTCCATAATATCTATTCTTTTATCTTTCAAAAATATATTACATCTATTTAGCCACAAATTGTACCACTAGAGACTTCATCATATAATTTAAATCAGACAGTAAGTTATAATGCATAGCCCTTGGAAAAAAGAAGCGTCCAATTTGCATTCTATCTTATAACCAATATGTCATTTAACTAATAATAATTTGACAAATAAACCTCATTATCTGATAGTTGAGATTGGTATGTATATGAAAACCCAAAGTCATTTACAACTCGTTTCTAATTCACAAGTGGCCATATCTCTACTGTATAAAGAATGATTGTCATATTATAATTAATTTATTATAAATTAGTTTTCTAAAACCACATTCTGGTAAATTAAAAGTTTTGAACCAAAAACAAAAAACACTCGTAAGAAGGCAAATTGCCAGAGGTGTTCTACCCAATTTGGATCTTATCAAGGATCCAGAAACTGAACAATTTAAATGAAAAATCCATTTAAAAAAGCACTGGTTCATTCCAAATTGGGAATAGATAGCTTATACTCAACTACAGAGTTAAAAACTCTGAAATAACTCTCAAAATGTTTCCATTTTTGTTAATAATTTATATTTGACAATTTCAGTTTATAATCTAGTAATATCTTTTCAAAATGAGTTTTGAGAAGAAAAATAAATGTTCAAATATTTAAAGTTTGACACTATTTCTGATGTTTTGCTCAACAAATAGAGATTATCAGCTTTTTTTAAGCTTTCCACCTCTGAAAAAAACCAAATCAATATTTTTGAATTATCTTTTTTAAATGTAAACCTATTACTTTTACAGAATCCAAATGTAGAGTTTTTAATTAATTCAAGTTTGCTATACAATGTTTGCTAGATGTGAGAAACTTCAAGAGAGGAGAGGAAGATGGAGTACAAAATAATAGGCCAGGATTTGATTAAATGCCACCAATTAACAATAAAATGCAAATTAATAAATACGAGTCAATATAATTAAAATGGTTAATAAAAGAATGGCTTAACATACAACACATTTCTAATCTCATGGTCAGAAAGTATGTAGTTTGGATCATAGAACAGCCTGCCAAAAACTCACCAGTAATCCCTAATCAGAAAATATTGCTACTGATAATATAGAGAAAAAAAATATTACTGTTTCATTACAATAGTCAATTATATCATACGTTTTTTTCGAAAACTGAATAAATATGATTTTTTAATATTGAAACTTTATATACCTTAACTCATATACTGTAGATACATGTCAATCTTCTTAATAAAAATTCTTATTGCTCCATAGTGCTTTCCAAATTTGAAACGTGTTACACATCAGTTATAAATGA